ACTTAATTCTGGAATTTTCTTTGCATGCAAATGATTAGTTTGGATACTAGTTGTCATGAAATATGTTTTTCCTTCTATGTACATAGGGGTTCAGAGCGTGCAATTTTGAATTATTTGCAGCTATATATACATGTGCAAAGAATTCTCCCCCACAGCAACATACAGTACATGACAGAGTAAGCAGAGATAGCCTTGAAGGAATCATTCCAGTTCCTGAAAACAGATACAGCTCTTCTGTTGCAGTCATTTTTCATTTTTGCAAATACATAGGAGCACATAAATGTTTTCAGATCTAAAAGTTTCATTCCTGTCTATCTGAAAATCCAACAGTTTGTATAACCAAACATGAATATCATCAAAGCTTCTGTCAGACACCCAGACAACGTCCACTCCTTGAGGAATGACTCATGTCTTACACTTTCTGTCCTCTCCTCATTTTTACAGCAAAGCAAAAGGCAGAAAAGCTTGCAACAGACACCAATACTGACAGTCTCAATTAAAGGGCAGAAGCATGAGCTTRACAGTAAAGTGGTAATATTTTTCCTTCCAATAAAAAGTGATGCTGTATTCTGTCTCCTACCCAGCATCTGGACAAACCAGGGAAGAGGATCCACAAAAAGTAAATGGTTCAACAGGTCCAAGTGCAAAGTGCTGCACCTGGGTCAGGGCAATCCCAGACATCCGTACAGAACGGGGGAACTCATTGAGAGCAGCCCTGTCGAGAAGTACTCGGGAATTCTTGTGGATGAAAACCTGGACATGAGCCAACAGCATCAGTGCTTGCACTCCACAATGCCAACCACATCCTGGGCTGCATCAAAAGCAAAGTGGGCAGCAGATCAAGGGAGAGGATTCTGCCCCTTTGCTCCCATGAGAATTCCACATCTAGCACCTAACATTGTGGGGTCCTCAGCACAAGAAGGACTTGGACCTATTAGAGCAGGTCTAGAGGAGSGCCACAGATGATCAGAGGGTTGGAACAACTCCAAAGACAGGCTGAGTGAGTGGGATTGTTCCACCTGTAAAGGGGAAGGCTCTGGGGACACATTGTGGCACTGCAGTACCTAAAGGGGGTCTATAAAAAACGGGAAAGTAATTTTTACACAGGCGGACATGATAGAACAAAGGRAATGGTTTCAAACTAGAAGAAGGGAGATTTTGTATTAGGTGCTATTAATAAAACCTTTCCTCAGAGGGGTAGTGAGGACTGGAACAGACTGCCTAGAGAAACTGTGGATGTTCCATCCCTGGATGGCCAGGTTGGATAGGACTTGGAGCAAACTGGTCTAGTGGAAGATGTCCCAGGTAAGAAGGTAGGTGGGAACTAGGTGGTCTTTAAGGTCCCCTCCAACCCAAGCCATTCCAYGATCCCATGAGCATTTGTGTTTCCTTGTAACAAAAGGCATGTATGGCAAGTACCCACGATGGCTGTGTCTACAGCAAGCTCAGGAAGCACATGGAAAAACACCATGCAGGGGATCTTTTCTTGTGTGCATGAACCCAGAAGCCAGATTCACRTATCCCAAATTACTGTACCCGGTGCTGGCTGGCTTTGGGACCCCAGAGACACTGACTCACTCAKAAACACGTGGAGCAAGGATTCTTGCAGATCCCATAGGTAAGTCAGCCMAAACTCCACCAAAGCTCAAACAGTACTCGCAGGAGCCAAGGATGCTCAAAAAAGGTAAACTGGTGACCTTTCTAACTAYGTTTTCTTTTGGGAGCTGAGTCCCCTAAAAGTACACTAAAAAAACACCCAGATCTTGGGCAACTCATTACATTTTTTCATTATTACAAGAGAATCAAAGAAACCAGAAATGGGGAACATTGTGCACATTGTGTCATCGAGCACAAATACCAACACATACAAAGAGATCTAGGAAAGTCCAAAAACAAAGTGGGGTTTTTTGATAGCTACATTTTTATTTGAATGTGTTTTTGCAATGCAGTTAACCTAATCACACTCTCAAGCCTAGAAATTTCTGCTTGGCACCTCTGTTCCTCCCTGGAAGACTAGGAGCTRGAAAAGTCCTACTTCAGCAGGAAGGGAAGAATGAGGACCTTTGTAATTTGAGTTATTATCTCTATTTTTTTTCAGTGTTTTAGTATCTCCTAGCAGTGACCTACTTTATGAATGTAATGCCCACCCAGTTCCCACTGAGCCAAAACCGTTTACAAGAGACACAGAGAACGATGACTGAACACTATTTTCTTACTGATCAGCACAAAGTTATTTGGCACAGGCATCTCTGTAAATGTTTGTCCAAGACTAGGTAAATTTGCTGTGTACGATGGCCCTCAGACCTGTGCTTCTGTCAAGTGAGAAGGCTCACAGTCCAGCACTGGAGCTCAGCTGYGCTTCAGCAGAAGCCGAGCTTAATATCATTGCTGTCTTTCCCTCTGGCACTGTTCTTTGTTGTTTTGTTCAATGTTTCCCTTTCCAAACAAGAAGAAGATTATTTTTAAAATGGAATGAATGTAAGRGCAAAGAAGAGAATTTGTGAAGTGCATTACACTGGGCTCTGCTTTGGCACGGAGAAGCCAGAAGAGCCTACACCTCTGGGCAAGCACCCAGGGCAAAAGCACAGCTTCAGAATCACTTTYAGCCTCACAAAGCCAAAGGCAATGTCTGCTTTAGGATATGCAAGGAGGTCTGACAGACTCAGTTCACAGTGACACTGGCAGCTTGCCACAGTATTTTGTTCACGTGTGCCTGAGATATCCATGGGTCCAGAGCTGTAATTACGGTCTCAGATATCACAGTACTACTAGCCCAGGAGATATTTATGGATCTGATACACACAACCTATAGGCACTGGGAAGTTTCAGAYACATTCAAGAAAACTCTCCACTCAAGAAGAGGGACAGCAGGTCTATAGCAGTTCTTTCGAGCTACATCAAAGCAACAYTGGGTCTCACCACTGAAAGTCACTGAAAGGTCTGGACAGGGTGAAGTGCAGGCACAGGGCTCAGGCTCACACCATAGATGTTATCAAAGGCACACTAATGAACTGTGAACCAGGTTAAGCATTAGCACTGCTTGYTTCCCTATGAAGTGACTTGCTGCTTCTCACAGTTGCATTTTAAACTCACAACAATAATAGGGACAGGTACGTACTTCCCTCCACCAAAAGGGAAAGGCCGGACAACCACTTTCACACTATTTATTTCTACAAAACTTATAAAGCATTTAGAGAATATATGCAATCCAAGAACCTAGCTAGAGAGAAAAAACTCCATATTGTTTKCAATTTATATTGCTAACCTTTGTCCCGAAGCATACTATCACACAAACAAARTCACCAAAATGTCACATCTGAGGGAAAGAAGCCCACAACCACCAGTGAGATGCATGCAGAACATACTTCAGYGTGGGGAACAGAAACTATACCAGCTTGCCAAATGCTGTTCCACATGAAGCCTAGGTAGGTTTCCATGTCTTTCCAGGACTTTGTGTTAAATACTCCCATCAGACAGTGAAGTGCATGGGAGAAAAGGAGTCTGTGCAATTCTCACCATACTTGGCTCTGGAGTAGCTCCGGTTTATTCTGAAAGAATACCTCCTACTTTACTACAGCTTTTGACACTCTGCAAACACTTCTCAATCCATAATCTAGAGCATTACTTTCAGCAGTGTAATTGCAGCCCTGCCCTTATCAATGTGCTGTGCTTTCTCCAAAACAGCTTATGTTCATTGAGGGAAGGGTTTCTGCCACTCTCACATCAAAGCAACAGCCCAGACACCCACTCACATTCAGGCACAGACAAGTCCTATACAGGACAACATATTTGTTTTGAAAAATATTCAAGGGCAGGATTTTTAAACTTCTGTTTCYGTAAATATTGGAATCCCAAACCCAGTGCCTGCCCTTAACCAAGACCACYTGCCCTTCAGGCTGAGGGCAGCCAAACATATCAGATTGCTCTGCCTGCTCACAGGCAAGTTGGAAAGCTGCATGTGGGTATTTCAGTCACAGCCTGTATCTTTGCTAAAATTTACTTCTTAAAAGCATTCAGTGTCTATTTACCAAGACGACTGGAAGTCACCCTGCAATGCTTTCTTTACTACAGTAATTTAAAGTATTTTACAACTTACAGTGCTCTCTGAAGGAAGACATTTGATATTGCTGTATACAGTTAGGAGGCAGAGTGCTTTTGTATGACAGAAAACACAGAGCTTTAAAATAAACTACACTAAAACACCTTCATTACTAAAGCAGTTTTGCACTGAGAAAGCCATACGATGAGAAAGCACTGCAAACATTCCAATAAATGCAGTTGATTACTCTCAGTGCCAAAAAAACTTTAAAATGCAAACTGGAAAACAAAAGTATTGTACATTTYGTATGTGCTTACATAAACCACATAACCCTAAACCCTGAGCAGATTAGACGTGTACGTTAACACGGATTAGAAGTTAACACTTACAATACAGATTAATATATTTTTTCCTTCCTGATACCAGCTGCATGAGACTGTGGCAGAAGAAATGCCTTTAAACCAGGAGGAAATCTCTGCATTTTAAACTGAGGCTTCCTCCAGCTTAATCAGGTATTTTTCAGTATGAAAGAAGTTTTTCTATTTGAACTAAAACATACTAACAGTATGCCATTTTAGCAAGTGCCTTCCACACAGATATATTTTAATACTGCAGYATTTCCAAATACTTCACACAGCTATTTCTTTAAAAGTTACACGATCAAAAGTCATTTCACCCTTTTGGGAAGTACTTGATGTCTATTTATTTTCAGCCTTTAACAGTCAGGACACCAATGTTTCCTTTTGCCTCAGCACCTAGCACTATACAGCTTGATTTTAGCCAAACCACAAATAACATTTATTTTAGCTATTTAATCATTCTGGTCCTTACCTTTAAAAAAAGAAAAAAAAAAAAAAAAAGCCTTTTCTACTCTCTTCCATTAGAAGCAAATGCTTGCATTCTGTTCTTTTTAGAGTATCCTTTGCTCTTACGACAGACAGAAAGCCATATTCCAACATACCTTGAAAGGAGACTCGCTTTCCCTGCCAGCTGTGACTTTTCAGTAGGTGCACTCAGAGCCACGATGTCACAGTCCCCTGAAGCTCGCAGTGAGGAGCGGAGCAGATCGCTCTCACACGCCCTTCCTCTTCCCTGGCTGCCTGACAGCTGTACACTCTTTAAGGGCTGCAGCAGGACTCGTCTCCCAGCCCCTYTGCCASTCCAAGGAATCATCCCCTCCCTGCTATTAAGTGCACGCTGCCATTATATCTTAAAAGCACGTCGCAGCTTGCATGCAGTAGCTGTGGGAAAGCTGCATTTATTTATACAGGAAGCTTGAGCACAGCACTTCCTACTTCCCAGTCGAGACTCAATTCAACTGCAGGTGATTACTGGAACCCCGGCAGCTCCCAGCCAATGCACACCCTGATGTTCTGATTTGGGGATCGGTGCAGCTTTTAACCACAATTCCCACGGGAGCGCTGACAAGGTAAAACTGAAAGCAGCAAGGCATTAGATGTGACACYGAGAAAAGCTCTCCCAAATTAACCTGTTTTGGGAGAGCAATTTGCATAGCAGCTGATGGATGTCTGAAACTTTGCTGGGTTCTGCTTGTGAAAAATGTCATCCAAAAACAAAAAAAACAAAAAACAAACAAACAAACAAAAAAAACCCACAAAAACAAAAAAATCTAAACTCGCAAGTAAAGTGTCAATGTAATTTCAGATCTGAGCACTTAATGATGATTGTGCTCATCTTATTTTGTCAATACTAAAATTTCATTCTTTAAGTAAAATTCCAGACAGTCTTTGCCTATATGCGAGAGGGGTTGGGAATCCTGCAGTTCCGTATTCCAGACCTAAGGGTGTGATTCACAGCAGCCAAGTAGCAGGAGAATACCTAATTGTGGCTCATGACACCAAACCCTCCCGAACTTTTCCTGCTGTAGGAAATGCACCACACCCACAGATAAGAAACACAGATATATCAGAGTGCAGGGGGTGCAGAAAAAAAGAAGGAAGTATAGATGTTAATCTGCAATTTTCTCCTTATGATGAAATAAGTTTACTTTGTACTTCATGCAATCATTGCTGGTGTTTTGCCTTCAGTACTTTCCTGTGAAAAATTATATATAGGCATTTCTTCCGGGGTGTACAGAACCTCACAGCTGAGCTTTTAGTTATTTTCAGACCATTATACTGCATCAGTTTAATCTAAGGAAAAGGCAGAAAGCTTGTGCAACTTTAATTCAGCCTCCTCGCACGTTTATATTACAGCTTTGCTTGAATTACCATCACATACTCGTTTCCTCTTTAGAATTTATTTATTTTACACTGTGTTATATATAATTTTATATATATTTATATAATTCTAATATGTATTATGTAATTTTAKACATAGTCTTTTTTTCTATATAAGTAATTTTTTTATATTATTTCTATAGATTTAGGGAGAAAGGGAATAATCACAGAAACAAATATAGCTGTTCCAACATGTAGAATCACGTCAATCCCTTTGGTGTTCACCAATAGGGTTTCAACGGGATTAGGCAAACTAGAGCCATGGCATTTGATATACTTGATATACTGCCACTTGAGCTAGCAGAGCATTTCCCAGCAGAAGCAGACTTACATCCTAGCATGACCAATCCTAGACAGTACTCAAGAAACACTGAGGACTTGGAGCTATTTTTTAGGCTCTAGAGCAGTAGTGAAAGTGTGGAATTCTTAGTAAAACTTTTTGAGTAGAAAAGGATTCTCCTTCTTTGGTTAGATTTTTATCCTCCATGTTCTGTTCTAGTATGAAAGAGCTTCTATCACTGCTCTCTTCATGACCTCCCCTCTGTTCCAGTTCCTGTATTTTCTTCCTGCAGCTGCTCCCTGTGCTACTCTGCCTCCATCACATTGTTAGGCCACAGATGAAGCTTTCTTCCTGTTCCCAACCCCTCTGCTCAGTACCACAGCCCTTGAACAGCAAAAGGCAATTATCTCAAGGAGGAGAGTGGTGAGAGAGGGAGGATGGAAGAAATCAAGTAATTCATGCAGGTGTAGGGAAAATGGCAGAGCAGGAAGTCCAGAAGCAGAGCAAAGCAGGGMAGCTGCCAGCAGCAGAGTAGCAAAAGTAGCATCTGGTTTGGTAGTTAATCCTTGCTGGCACAACAAAATAAAAAYAAGCTTCACTGAAGTAGCCTCCACCGGCCAAGAGACAGAACTGCAAACAAAGGTTAGTCATCTTCCCTTCAGGTAAATGATAAAGCCAGCTTGTGTCTAYGGGAGTTGTTCTTTTAAACTGAAAACTAGATTTAGTACATCAAAATGGACACAAATTCTGGAAACTTCAGCTACAAACTTCATACTTTTATCCCATTTCCTACAATGTGTCTCCATGCAAGTTAAAATGTGATTGCACAAACATGCAAAACTGCTCACAACAAAACTATTTTCCCTTAGACATCACAAAATTGGTGAGAAAAATTATGAATGTTTCTCAAGACGTTTAATTAACTGAAAATGTTAAGATATGCGCTTGTTCTGAGCACTCCACTTCTTGAGCATCACAACCTGAAGTGTGGTGCCCAGAATGACACGCTGGACAATCACTTACTGATGCTCTGTGGACAGCTGGCTATGCCCCTGCTTCCATCTTCTCTTMTTTGCCTCTGCTTCTGTGCTTATCCAGGATCTCCACAGCAAAGAGGAGCTGAAGGTGACGTGGCACTGTACAGGAGCTCGGGTTACAAGGCCTCCAGATGATCAATACTGATGATTCTTTCAATTGCCATCACCAAAAGACGTGAGCTGGACTGTTATGAGCTCTTCTGTCAAAATGATTTCTCTTCCAGCTATACCTCGAGCCCAGGTACTTCACAGTTTCACAGGAGCACATCTTCTTGGCAAGCTAATTTTGTGAAGTGTTATGAGTCATGCTAAAATTGCTACCCAGCTCAAATCCCTGAATCTCTTAACCCAGAATGATTGGTTTCCTTTTTGAGCCAACAAAAAAAAAAAAAAAATTCAGACTGTCACACAATGCCAGACAAGGCACAAGCTAATTTCTCTCCATTTGCTTTCTTCTTGGGTAGCCGTGATGTAAAGCACAAAAATGAGAGGGCCCAATTAATTTTTTGGACACTCTTAGCTGATGCTTTTATACCTCCAGGCTGGGGGAATGGCTGAGCCTTTGAGATGTCAAAATGCAATATCACTGGAAACTTTCAGTTGATCTACTAGCCAGAATAAGAATAAAGGCTGCCACTGTTAATTACTAACATTGCTGTGTCATCCTTGCAGTGACTTGCAATACTTCAGAAATGACTAAGCCACTCTGCATTAACCGAAATTACTAATTTTTGACATAGATGGGTAAAAAAGTAATAGCATGACCACTGAAAAGACCACTCACATCCCACAAACAAAATACCATTATCAGCAAGTGAAAACATCGAGTTAGTGTATAACTAACAGTTTCATTGTACTTCTATATAAAGAAATAAGACTAGCTTGTGAGGGAAAACAAATTTTTATTATCCTGTTTGGCAGTTTTCAACTAATAAAAAACAAATACGCTGAAAAACAATTGCTGTCTATAGGTGTAATATAAAAACAGGTTTTGTAACAAGCTTTCTAAAACCAGAGCCTGCCTCAAAAAAATTAGTCCTTATCCATTTAATTGGTGTACATGCAAATAATCCATTTCCCTATGGAAAATGAAAGTATTTGTAGATAKGAAAGAGAGCTTTACAACAAAAATAGATACTAATGAGTAACATAACCAATGCTGAAAACAAAACAGGAAGGGGTTTTGCACAGGGACCATACATATGTTATCTGAAGTTGCAAGTGTGATGCCCCTGATGTCATGGACTATTAATAGTTGTCTTCAATGAGAATTACTTTAAAGGGGGATTACACCATMAAAAATCATTTGTGGTATCTAAAAAGAAATCTCTATTCAATATATGTATTTATATAATCACAAAATGCTAGAAATCAGATGTCAGTGTAAAAAAATACAGAGCTATATAATGCTTTGCATGCAGATGAGCTTTACTCAGTACAGCTACAAGAAAATCAGGATTACATCTTTTCCTGTTTAAATAACCCTATTGTTCTACAATTCTGACTTGGTATGCAAGTCACTCACTGGGCTTGAAATCTTCATTATTCCCTTTAGCTAAAACATAAAACTTTATTGTAAGGAGTTTTCTACTGGAGTGAWATAAATCAGGTTAAATTATTTTGAAAGAATAGTAGGTACAAATCTAAAGAGCTTTTTATTTTACAGTAAAAGAGGGARTGGCTAGCACACTGTCTACTGAACATTTATAATTATTATGATCTCAAAATAYGTGGATTTGTCTCGGACACAAAGAAAAGTGGTAGGTGACTTACACTCATCCTGCTCCCATGAACAAAGAAAAAAACAATGTTCATTGAATTTTGCTGGCATAGTGGACCATCTCCAAAAAAAAAATCATATGGCTTCCATAAGTTCTGTATTTTTGCTCTATYCATAAATTTTTCTTGTGTTTATACTTTGAACTATCTATTGGTATTTGATCCATAGGGAACCATGCTAGCAGAAAAAAAAATACATAGCCTCAGCAGAAAACCATAAAACCATGAGAAGTCAGCCTGCTACCCCAGTGGGGAGGTTTCAGGTGTTCAGAAATCTCAGCTTAAAGATCAAGGCCGATGGCTCTGACACTCTACTACTGGAATTCCAGTACAACTGGCCTTATTGGAACCTGGAAGCATCGAGAGAAAGTGTATTTGCCCCTGCTGGTGGCAGAGGTCTAGTGGCAATGCCCCCAGGAGGAGGCACTTTGCCACTGGCAACCAAACAGTTCTGCACCAGCTCTACAAAAATTTTTGCTCAGGCCATCTCCTTCCTGCTCCTGCTAMGTGTATGGAGAACCAGCCTGCAGAAAGAAAACTAGCCAAGTTGCTATGAGCCTGCCCTAAATAAGACCCTGATGAGCTGCCACTGAAGAGCAGAAATCCAGCCCAGGGGCAGCCAGAGCAGCACCCCCAGCCCAGGACGTGTCCTCAGCTGCCTCCCTGCACTTGAGACGTGGGGAGGAGGCAGGCTACTGTCACACTGCCCCCTGACCTTCTCCTGTGACATGAAACATGCCAGCCATCGTTTYGCAAGGCAGCTGTGTCCTTCCCCAGCCACATGGTGATCATCACTGATGGGATGGCACTGCTTCTGGAGACACTGCAGCCTGGGACACGGGACACCTCCTGGGCTCAGAGACCTCCCTGTGCAAGCAGGTCCAGTTCCCCAGCTGGAGCACCTGCAGCTCCCCCCAAACCAGCACCATCACATGGACTGATGACAAAACATAAAATGAAACCAAACAGCTCTGCTCTCATGCTCA